GAAGAGTCAGGAAGCCGCGGCCGGAAGCCGCGGTATCCATAGAGACGCTGTCGGAAGTTGGGGTTGCTAGGTAGCCTGGGCGCGTCCACTGAACTGCGTGATGGCTGAAGTGCCAGAAGATTATGATTCTGGTCCGGATGAACCTGAGGAGTCGGAGCTTACCAGACCTAAACTGCCTGGACTTCATAAACTGTCTCAAGATGCTGAACTGGAGGCCGTGGCTGAGCCAGGCCCGGAGCCCCCTACGGAGACTGACCAAGCACCACGGCCAGAGACTGAGGAAAAAGATTTCAAAGAGGGGGAGCCAGGGAGTGCTAACAATGTACAGCTAAAACCAACCAGTGCGTCCGAGTATGAAATTCCCAGGGAGACTGAGAGATACTTATCTAGCAAAATTGAACCAGGCATTTCCCAGGAGATGAAGGTGGAGACATTCGGAGAGACAGAAGGAGAACTAGTCAAGGATTTGGAGGTTCTTATGGAAGGAAAACTTGAGGAGCCAAATCTAGAGCTACTGGATGAGGTTAATCCAGATGTTGCAGAGGATGTACCCCTTGAGCCAGTCACAGAAACAGATACAGAGCTACCAACAAAAACCAAGACTGAGATTCCAGGGGCCACAATCAGTGAGACAAAATTAAAGTTACTAGAAGAGACCGAAAGAGAGATTCCAGAGGAATTACTTACAGAGCAATATAAAGAGGTAGGTATAGAGTCTCCAGAGCAGACCACGCAAAAGATTCTAGAGGAGATGCAAAGAGAGTCAACTGAGGAGAAAAGGGCAGAGCCACTTGAGCAGACTAAACAGCTTACAGATGAGAAACCAAAAACCTCTACTGAGGAGGCAGGTCTAGAGCCTCCAGAAGAGACTAAACCAGAGGTTCCAGAGGAAATGCAAAAGGAGGTGGAGATAGAACCACCCCAGCAGAGTAAATCAGAGTTTCTGGATCAGAAACCAAGAAAATCTACTGGAGAGGCAGATTTAGTGTCTCCAGAAGAGACTAAACCAGAGGTTCCAGAGGAGCTAGAAAGAAAATCAACTGAGGAGATAGGGACAGAATCATCAGAGAAAACTAAACTCGAATTTCCAGACCAGAAACCAGGAAAGTTAACTGAGAAAAAAGCTTCAGAGCCACTAGAAGAAATCAAATCAGACTTTCCTGAGGAAAAAGTAAGAAAACCAATTGAAGAAACAAGTCTAGAGCTATCAGAAAAGGCCAAAAAAGAAATTCCAGAAGAGATAAGAAGAAAATCAAAAGAGGAAGAAATTCCAGAGTCACCAGAAGAGACCAATCTGGTGCTTCTACAGGAGATGAAACCAGAGATTCATGAGGAGACAAAAAGAAAGTTGACTGAAAAGGAGCCACTAGAAGACACTAAACCAGCAGATCAAAAAGTGAGGCAGAGAAAATCATCTGTACTAGAACCACCACAGAAGTTCAAATCAGAGGTGACACTAAGAGAACCAATTAAGGAGAAAGGTCTAGAGCCACCAGAACAGACTGAACCAGAATTTCCAGAGAAAGAAGAAAGAAAATCAACTGAGGAAATAGTTCAAGTGCCACTACAGAAAACCAACATAGAGGTTCAAGAGAAGATACAAACAGAAGCTGCTGAAGAGAGAAATCAAGAGTTACCAGATCAAGCCAAATCGAGAGAGACACATGGAGAATTTTCAAAAGACAGACCCGAGCCAGTCAAATCTAAGTATTCTATTGGCAAGGATGAGCTGGAGTACTCAGAGTTTCAAACAAGAAAGTCAGTTAAAGAAAACACTGCAATAGGATTTCTTAGAGAAAGGGAAATAAAGTCAGTTAGTAGAGATTATGAGTCTTCTCAGGGACTCCAAAATCTGCTTAAGCTTGATGATACTAGAAAGGAACACTCCTACTTACATGAATCAATGTCTCAAACAGCATTAAAAGAGTCTTCTAGTGAAAGCAACATCATAGATTTGTCAGAAGACTTGGAAGAAATGACACTTGATATGAAAGCACAGTCGACAGAAAGGATTGGGATGCAATTTGAATGTCTTAAATGGAGCCCAGACCAAGTTGCAGAGTGGATAAGCCACTTAGGCTTTCCTCAATACAAGGTATACAAAAATCATATTTTGAAACTACATGCTCTCATTTTTCTATTTATTTCCTCTTCTCTTGCCTTCAGTAGAAGGTATATAGAAAAGTCTTGGACTGTGATAGAAGTAGCTTGATTTTATTTTTTAAAAATTTTTTTCCTTTAAATTTATTTAGTTATTTTAATTTGACCAGAGAGGAACAGAGCAAGAGTGAGAGTGAGAGAGAGAGAGAGGGGGAAAGCAATTTGCCAGGTTCGGTACTTGAACTCTTGAACTGCAGGTGCCCTTAACCACCATGCCACCTACTGGACCCCTTTTTTTTTTAAAGGCTTTTGCCATAGCATACTTGTGTTCCCCTGAGAGATAGAAAGACAATGAAGAGGGAAAGAAGAAAGAAATCACCCTCCAGGAAGAATTGCCATGCCACAATCTCTTCTCCTTTAGTCTCCTCTGAGGATTTGGGGCACACACACACACATGCCCACCATGAGTTTCAAGCCCCCAGGTCCAGGACTTGAACTGTAGTAAGCCATGTGGGAGTCCAGTGCCTTAACCGCTACACAACCTGCTGGCCCCAGGGTAACTTGGATTTTAATTTTGGCCTTGCCACTGAAGTTATTTGTATTTTCCAAGAGGAAGGGAAGAACACATCTGTTTGTTTTTCCTATTCAACTCTTCTCTGTGTTCCTTGAATAAAGACCATTACATTTATATAGACCTTTTTTCACAGAAGACTATTTTTAAATAGATTTTTTCCAAGATATTTTACTACTTCATCAGGTTGTTTTAGTGGTAGCTCTCTTACATTTAACTTAATTTTAAGTGTCTGCCCCAAATAAGTCATATGTGTCTGAGTTCTTAAAAGTACTAATTTAAGAGCTGGTCATGTGGTATAGTGGTTAAGGGAACCAAATCCCACATGATCAACATGGTTTGAATCCTGGCCCCAGCACACGCACCCTCTGGTTTATAAACAAAGAGTATTAATTTAAATAAGCCAGTTAATCAGAACATTTTATTAAAATAGCATAAGCCACTTATGTAACTGCTACCGACAGTGTTTATAGAGAACCATAAAACAATGCAGGACTGAAACCCTTTGGACTACTTGTACTTAAAAATGTAATTAAAAAAGAAAAAAGCAGCAGCAGTAGTAAAATGTATACGAAACAAGAAATGGAAAATTATTTGTTGATGATAACATGTAATGTCCTTGGTTGAGCCAATATACAGTATATTCTGGATTTTGTATGCTGCAATGATATACAGTGAGTGAACATAAAATAAAAATAAAATTGAAAACATTGAGACATGCACTGTTTATGACACGCAAAAAAAAGGAAATTTAGGGAGCAGCATGAAATTTAATTATTAAAGAGCTTAAATGGAAAAATATATTAGGATAGAAAATAAATATAAATTTTTTCTCAATATAGAACAAGAGACAATCATGATTTCTTTCCTCTGTTCCTTTCTTCCATTTGCAGTACTTTTTTTTTTTTGAGTGATGTTTTTGTTGTATTGATAGGAATGTTTTACCACAAACTTTATCAGTGGCCGAAAACTCATCCACGTGAACTGCTCAAACCTCCCTCAGATGGGGATAACAGATTTTGAGGATATGAAGGTGAGTTGTGTACAATTTCCCTATAGAGCATTCTAACCTACCATCTGTTCAAAGCAACTTCCTTTTCTTCCATCCTGGCCTCTTAATTCTGTCAGTGGTTTCATCATACTCCCAGTTCCCTAGACTCACTTGTTAATATCATTTTACTAACAATAAGATATGATAAAATTCTCTGCATTATTAAACACATAGACCTAACTGGACATTTAATCTCTTGATTTCTGCTCATAGCTATCTCTTTCACTTTTTTTTAATCCCCAGAAGGCATGCATGCGTGCTTACCAGAGAGAGGGGGACAGGGAGAAAGCACCTCCAATGGTGCATGGTCACACTATAATACCTTCTCCATTTCTCCATTCTATCAGAATTTAGGGCATGCATGCACATAAACCTGGCATATTTTTGAAGCTACTAATGCCAGGATTCAAACTACAGTCATCTTTGTGGGATCCAACTCCCTTAACCACTAAGCTACAGGGCCAGCCCTTGTAACTTTTTTACTGAGTGCTATGTGTTGGTCACATACCTCTATTAGCTTACCTAATGCCCATTTTTTGTTTTGGGGTTTTTTTTAGAGAGATTTTTGTTATCAGGCATGAGTACTCACCAGAGATACAAAGAGAGAGAGAGAAAGTGAGAAATCATCCCCCAGGGGGATGGCCACACCACAATTCCTTTTACTCCATTCTCCTTTCAGGATTTTATGCACGCACACACATGCTCCTGGTGTGAGTTTCAAGCTGCCTGGTGTGGGACTCGAACCATGGTTAGGACATGTGGGAGTTCAGCACCTTAACCACTATGCCACCTTCTGGCCCCCCAAATGCCCATTTTATAATTAGAGTCCTGACTCTGTGGCTTCAAAAATATTGCAGGTGTGTGTGCATGCATGCCCAAGATCCTGAGAGGAGAATGGAGGAGAAGGGATTGTGGCGTAGCCATCATCCCTGGGGGAGCGGTGATTTCTCACTTTCTGTCTCTCTGTTTCTCTTTCTCTGGTGAGAGCACATGCCCTATAACAAAAATCACTCTACCAATTCTTTTTGTTCCCTTGACATTTTAATCTCAAAACTCACCATGTCACCATTATAAAATTTATTTATTTATTTATTTATTTATTTATTTATTTATTTAGTGAAAGAAAAAAGGGGAAGGGGAAAATGGGATGTAAAAGGAATGGGGAAGAAGGAAGTGGAATGTAAAGAGAATAAGGGAGGAGAAATTGGGATGCAAAGCCAGTTGTTTTTGGATGTAAATCGGCTGAAGAATTCTCTGATCCTTTTGGGGGATAATCTGATAAAGGCTTGTGACTTCCTTTACCCTGATACTGGGCAATATCCAGGTATTGGGTATCAACAACAGGAAGACGACCATTGACAACAGGCAAGTACTGCTTTCGTATGTAGATACTTCTCAATAGCCCTGCTAGTTTAGCTTATGGAGCGCATATCTGCATGTGTCTTCAGGCCACATGTTTTAATCACATGTTTTCAGATTGGCTCCTCTCCACATGAGAGGGTTTTTCTATAAGGGGGAAGGGGTCGCCAGAAAGACAGAGAGCAAGACAGAGAGACAGAAAGTGAGAAATCACCCCCTGGGGGGATGGCCACTCTGCAATCCCTTCTCCTCCATTCTCCTTTCAGGATCTTGGGCATGCATGCACACGTGCCTGGCATTAGTTTAAGCCACCAGGTCCAGGACTCGAACCGCGGTCGACTACGTGGGAGTCCAGCAACGTAGCCATTATGCCATCTGCTGATTCCATACCATATAAAACTTAAGTTACTTGTTGGAAACTATTTAAATAGCATACATTCATAACAATATGTCAGCAATTGACTACTATTATAAACAAAAATATTTTTCTTTTTTAAAAAAATGTTTAATTTGGGGCCATCTAGTGGTGTCTTACGGTAAATAGATCCAATTTAGTCAACAGCACAGCTTGAGTCCTGAAACTGGCAGCCTGAACAAACATGCCGGGTGCATGTGTGTGCATACCCAAAATCGTGAGAGAATAGAGAAGGAATTGTGGCATGACCATCCCCCATGGGGGGTCCTTTCTCACTTCGCCTCATCGGTCTCTTTCCAGAGAGCACCCATGCCCTATAGCAATTAGGAGAAAACATTTTAAATTTGCAAATAACTTCAGTTTTATAGAAGAGTTGCAAAGATAGTACAGAGAGTTCCTATATACCCTTAACCCAGCTGCCATTAATGTTAACATCTTATGTGATTATGGTACATTTATCAAACATCAATATATTAAGTTGTTGGGAAAGACATGATGCATTTTTTGCATAGAAAACCATAGAAAAATATGTTATGACTTAATAGGTTGCATAGACTTTGTTAAGACAGTTTAATTTAGGTTATCAAGTGGCATGGTGTTCAGTGATTACAACTTATGTTTTAGAAATGCTGAAAATTGTGGCAAAAATATTTAAAAGAATATACAAGTATAGGTACTAAGAAAAACAGCTAGAACTTTAATGTCTAATTTTTAGTGTTTGAGATTCATTTTTAGTAAAATTAGGTAACCATTTGAGTAATGATTTTTTCCCTTGGTTGTAAATTAACTAAGCTCCTTATATACAAGTTAAGAAAAAAGGGGAAGGGGAAAATGGGATGTAAAAGGAATGGGGAAGAAGGAAGTGGAATGTAAAGAGAATAAGGGAGGAGAAATTGGGATGCAAAGCCAGTTGTTTTTGGATGTAAATCGGCTGAAGAATTCTCTGATCCTTTTGGGGGATAATCTGATAAAGGCTTGTGACTTCCTTTACCCTGATACTGGGCAATATCCAGGTATTGGGTATCAACAACAGGAAGACGACCATTGACAACAGGCAAGTACTGCTTTCGTATGTAGATACTTCTCAATAGCCCTGCTAGTTTAGCTTATGGAGCGCATATCTGCATGTGTCTTCAGGCCACATGTTTTAATCACATGTTTTCAGATTGGCTCCTCTCCACATGAGAGGTTTTTTCTATAGGGTGCATGGGCTCGCCAGAAAGACAGAGAGCAAGACAGAGAGACAGAAAGTGAGAAATCACCCCCTGGGGGGATGGCCACTCTGCAATCCCTTCTCCTCCATTCTCCTTTCAGGATCTTGGGCATGCATGCACACGTGCCTGGCATTAGTTTAAGCCACCAGGTCCAGGACTCGAACCGCGGTCGACTACGTGGGAGTCCAGCAACGTAGCCATTATGCCATCTGCTGATTCCATACCATATAAAACTTAAGTTACTTGTTGGAAACTATTTAAATAGCATACATTCATAACAATATGTCAGCAATTGACTACTATTATAAACAAAAATATTTTTCTTTTTTAAAAAAATGTTTAATTTGGGGCCATCTAGTGGTGTCTTACGGTAAATAGATCCAATTTAGTCAACAGCACAGCTTGAGTCCTGAAACTGGCAGCCTGAACAAACATGCCGGGTGCATGTGTGTGCATACCCAAAATCGTGAGAGAATAGAGAAGGAATTGTGGCATGACCATCCCCCATGGGGGGTCCTTTCTCACTTCGCCTCATCGGTCTCTTTCCAGAGAGCACCCATGCCCTATAGCAATTAGGAGAAAACATTTTAAATTTGCAAATAACTTCAGTTTTATAGAAGAGTTGCAAAGATAGTACAGAGAGTTCCTATATACCCTTAACCCAGCTGCCATTAATGTTAACATCTTATGTGATTATGGTACATTTATCAAACATCAATATATTAAGTTGTTGGGAAAGACATGATGCATTTTTTGCATAGAAAACCATAGAAATAGGTTGCATAGACTTTGTTAAGACAGTTTAATTTAGGTTATCAAGTGGCATGGTGTTCAGTGATTACAACTTATGTTTTAGAAATGCTGAAAATTGTGGCAAAAATATTTAAAAGAATATACAAGTATAGGTACTAAGAAAAACAGCTAGAACTTTAATGTCTAATTTTTAGTGTTTGAGATTCATTTTTAGTAAAATTAGGTAACCATTTGAGTAATGATTTTTTCCCTTGGTTGTAAATTAACTAAGCTCCTTATATACAAGTTATTTATTAACCTTCCCAGGGATAGTCATGACTGCTAATCTGAACATATTATCTGTTTTATGGCTGGTCAGATTGTTCAGCAAATAAATGAATCCAACTGTGGCCATCTGATGCAAGAGCTTGGAATTTTTTTTTTTCCTTTTTGATTGCCAGGGGGATGTATGTGCTAGTCAGAGGAAGTGAAAGTGAGTACTCCCCAGTGGGGCATGGTTGTACTCCAATCCCTTTTCCTCCATTTCTCCACATACACCACAGTTGGCTATGTGAGATCCAGCTCCTAATACACAGTGCTGTGTTACAGGGCCAGCCCATCTGGAAGCATCTTTAAATTTTTTAAAGAGGTTTTTTGCCTTAGGGCAAGCGCACTCCCAAGAGAGAAAGACAGAAACAGTGAGAAGGGAAAGTGAGAATCACCCGCTAGGAGGGATGGTCACACCATATTCCCTTCTCCATTCTCCTGGGATCTTGGACACGTATGCACAGGTGTCCTGTGTGGGTTTCAAGCCACTGGGTCCGGAATTCGAACTGCAGTTGGCCATGTATGTCCAGTGACATAACCACTATGTCATCTGCTGGCTCTTTTAAATGGTACTTTAATAAAGATAGTGAATAGGGCCAGGGGGTGGTGTGGTAGTTAAGGTGCTAGACTCCCACATTATTGATTGCGATCTGAGTCCTGGACCTAGCAGCTTGCTTTCTCACTTTCTTTTTCTCTCTGTCTCCCTCCAGTCAAATTAAAAAATAAAAATTAATTAATTAATTAAATTAAATAAACAATTCTTTAAAGGGAAGAAAAAAAAAAGAGAGAGATAACAAATTGGGTTAGCACTGTGGCCTGGTGATGAAGGCAGCTGGATCCCACCTGGCTGATCATGTGGTTCAAGTCCAGAACGCGACAGCTCAAGAAACACACTGAATGTGTAGTGTGCGTGCCCAGCATCCCCAAAGGAGGGAGAGATGGTGCATAAGTATTTTCTCCTTTCCTTCTCTCTCTATCTCTGGCAAGCACACAAACCTTTTGGCAAAATTTTTTTTTAAATAAAATAAAATAAAAGTGAGTCATGTGACATTTCTGTTAAGAACCTCGTTTTGGTAAGACCAGGCTAGTAACATGTGAATGCTATTTCATTATTTTCCCACAGAAAATAGAGTGGGGCAGCCCACGTAGTAGTTAAGGGAGCCAGATCCCCCATGGCTTGTTTTGTGGGTTACATTCTGGTGATGGCATATTGCAAAGCACTCTGAGCACATGCGTGTGCGTGCCCCAAATCCTGAAAGGATGGGGAAGTGGAGGAAAAGGAATTGTGTTATGACCGCACTCCACTGGGGGTTGTTCTCTCCCTCTCTCTCCCCCCAGAGAGCACACATACCCTCAGACAAATAAAAATTACGTATATTTGATTCTTTGTTTTCAAGTTAATTCCATTTTAAAAGTTATCCTTGCATTTCAGGTAATTTCACGGCACACACGGGAGCTACTGGGATTTGAAGAGCCATTATTCAGTCGCAGCATCAGCCTTCCCTATAGAGACAATATTGGCTTATTTTTAGAGCGAAAAGGTCATACTGGTGTAAAATCTGATTCCTTAACCTTATCTGAATTTGTCAACACAGTAGGATTACAGGATTATGCTCCACAAATAACTACCCCTGAAGAAAAGGAGACATTACATTACACCGAACCTTTACATTTGACTTGAAAGATCGAACTAAATTACTTAGGGAACGAGGTGTGATCTTTTTTTTCCCTCTTCTCTTTTTCATTAAGGATCAGAGTCAAAACTACTGGCTCTCTCTGACCACAGCACCTGCTCCTTATTTGCATTTCAATTTAGCCTCTGTTAAAACAGAGATAGTAATACTTCTCTTCCTGAGTAATTGTAAGAACTGCTGATAAATTCTAGTCATGCACCTGGCAGTAGGAACAGGTTGGAGAAATATAATTAAAAATAAAATCTCCTGCCAACGCAGATGATCTCCACAAATGCAGAAAAGCAACAATTTTATTACTGAATAAGCATTAAACTGTGAGGCACATCACAGGCAAGGTGCTAAGCAGATTGCAAAAACTAAGAAATGTCATTCTTTTAGATAACCAGGCAGATACGATACACTTCATACACGTTAATTATCTGACAAATTTTTAAAAAGTACCAGAACAGTTCATATACAGCTGAAATGAACATGGTAGAAATCATAATTACCTTATTTATTTCTTTATCCAAAGTGAAAGGGAAATCAAGTTGTGTTCTTTCCTGGCTATAAATTTCTGTAGGAAAGGAAGCTGCAGTATGTAACTGTCTAATAATGACATTATAGCTTCTTGAATTTAACTTTTAGAAGAAAAATTCATTTGTATTAACAAGGCTTTTCTGGGGAAGCAGTTTATTATTTAAGTGTGCTGGGTTATGTAATTTCATTCGGTTCCTTGTGAAAGCTGGACACATCCAAGTATATTGATGTATAGGACCTTTTGTTTTATTCTTAATTTTAAAGACCCGTGAGTACAATGTTCTCATTCCTAGTGTCTAACAGGGCAAATAAGTATAGTCATATGACTCCCACTGTTAGTTGTGATAATCAAGGCATAACCATCATAGAGCAATCTGTGAGGGGGGAAAACAATCCCGAGGTTTCTCACTGGGATGAAGAGCCCATGGAAACCACTGGCTGTTCTTTGGTTAGAGAGCTGCCAAATAAACCACAGTATAGATGGGTAAGGTGGTCTCGGAGAACCGTATTGGTTGAGAAATGCTGGCTAAAGGGAGTTTTCTTGAGTTGCACAGCAGTCAGATCAAACCAGGGAAAAGGCCTGGGGTGGAAAAAAAATTCTGTTACTTTTCTATGTCTTTTCAATATATCTGATTTTACTGTTTTCCTCCACTTAGCATATCAAACTCATTAATATTCATAGTTAAACTGGAAATTCAGCTGGAACTATTCAATATGTAAATTTAAGTGTACTTACGTGATATCCCTCACATGCATTTCTCTAATTGCATTTGGAAAACATTCACAATTGGAGAATTATTATTATATTGATATTGATAGTTTTCAGTACATTTTCCTTGAACTTAGAAAACATACACAAAGAGAATCATAGTTGTTGGGGCCAGCAGGTGGCATGGTGGTTAAAGGCTGGACTTCCACACAGCTGACTGCGGTTCGAGTCCCCGACCTGGCAGCTTACTTTCTCACTTTCTCTCTCTGTCTCCTCTCTCTCTGTCTCTGTCTCTTTCTCTCTCTTTCTCTCTTACTCTGTCCTTCTCTGGTCAAATTAAAATAAAGAAATAAAGTTAATTAATTCCTTAAAAAAAGAATCATAGATGTTAGACAAGGAAAAGATCCAATTGCTTTTTTTGTTTTTTAATTTTCGCTGCAGAGCATGTGTGCTTGCTGGAGAGATGGAGAGTGGGAAAGTGAGAAATTATCCCCCGGGGCTACACCACAATCCCTTCTCCACCATTCTCCTCTTGGGAATTGGGCATGTATGCACACACACCCAGCATGTTTTTCAAGCCATCAGGTCTGGGACTTGAACCACCATCAACCATCTGAGAGTCCAGTGCCTTAACTACCATGCTACTCACTGGCCCCAGATCTACTTGTGTTTAAGATATTCTCTTTAGGTGTGTAGGTAAAGAAGGTGAAGTTAATACGCAAATGAAAAGAAGACAATGTTAAATATTATAGTGTAATTCAAGTTTAAAAATAAAAACCCACATTGAGACATAGGGTTCGTTTTTTGTTTTTGGAGAGATTTTTGCTATAGGGTGTGTACGCTCACCAGAAAGACATAGAGAGACAGAAAGACAGAAAGTGAAAAGTCACCCTCCCGCCCAGGGGGGATGGCCGCACCATAATCCCTTCTCTTCCATTCTCCTCTCTGGATCTTGGGCGCGCATGCACACACACACACACACACACACACACACACACATACCCACACGCCCGGCCACCAGGTCCGGGACTTGAACCGCGGTCAATTATGTGGAAATCCAGCGACATAGCCATTATGCCAACTGCTGGTCCTGAGACATAGGGATTTTAATTGTTGAAAAACTCAGAAGTAAGGTAAGGATATCTGCTTTCACTGCTCTTATTCAACATAGGTCTGGAAGTTCTAGCCAGTACAATAAGGCAATAAAAGGCAGGTAGATTAGAAAGAAAAAAAAATGAAACTGGCCCTATTTATAGATGACATAATTATCTATGTAAAAAAATCCCAAGGGGAACCAGCAGATAGCGTAATGGTTATGTCGCTGGACTCCAATGTAGTCGACCACTTTTCGAATGGTGGACCCGGTGGCTTAAACTCATGCCGGGCGTGTGTGCGTGCATGCCCAAGATCCTGAGAGGAGAATGGAGGAGAAGGGATTGCAGCATGGCCATCCCCTGTGGGGGGCGATTTCTCGCTTTCTGTCTCTCTGTCTCTGTCTTTCTAGCAAGTGCATGTACCCTATAGCAGAAACCTCTCAAAATAAACAAACAAACAAACAAAAAACAAGGAATCTACAGAGAATAAAAGGCTAGAGCTAATGAGTTTAGCAAGGTTGTAGAATAAATAAATAAATAAATATAAAAATCAACTATATATACTAGCAGTGAATATGTGAACATGATTTTAAATGCTGTTTCATTTATAATCATTCAAAAATAGAATATTTGCACATAAATCTAATCAAATATGTACAGAACTTGCATAATGAAAACTGGAAAATGCTAATGAAATAACCCAAGAGCTCAATAAATGGAGAGACATACTATATCCATAAGTGAGAAGACTTAATAAAGATGTTAAGCTCCACAAATCAATCTATAGCTATAATAGTACAATAAAAATTAGTGGCAACACCAAATTATTGCAAATATGTAGAGAAATTGGATCACACATTGGTATAACTACTGGTAAAATGATATAGCTACTCTGTTTTTTGGAGAAATTTTTGCTATAAGGGCACATGTACTCACCAGAAAGAGAGAGATAGAAAGACAGAAAGCAAGAAATCACACCCCCCGGGGGGATGGCCACGCCACAATCCCTTCTCCATTCTCCTCTCGGGATCTTGGGCACACACACACATATGTGCCCGGTGTGAGTTTAAGCCACCGGGTCTGGGACTGGAACCGCGGTCGACTACATGGGAGTCCAGTGACATGGCCATTACGCCAACTGCTGGTCCCTGGTATTACTACTCTGATAAACAGTTGCCAATATTTTTTTTAAAAGACAGTTGTGGGAACCAGCAGTTAGCGTAATGACTATGTCGCTGGACTCCCATGTAGTCGACTGTGGTTCGCGTCCCGGACCCGGTGGCTTAAAACTCACGCCGGGGACGTGTGCGCGCGTGCCCAAGATCCCGAGAGGAGAATGGAGGAGAAGGGATTGCGGCGTGACCATCCCCCCTGGGGGGTGATTTCTCTCTTTCTGTCTCTATGTCTCTCTCTGTCTGTCTGGCGAGCGCACGCGCCCTATAGCAAAAAAACTCTCAAAAAAAAAAAAAAAAAAAAAGACAGTTGTGTGTTTATTTTTATCTTTAAAATAATATTATTTTATTTCGTTTTTATTATAGTTTATTTTATGATTTTAAAAAATGACTCTAGTTACACACCTGGGGATTTATCCCAATGAAACAAAAACTTAGGTTAACATGAAAACCTCTACATGAATGTTCACAGCAGCTTTATTCATAATAGCCAAAACTGGAAGTAATCCAGATGTCCTTCAACAAATGAATAGTTAAACTGATACAACAATGCATGGAATACCACTCAGCAATAAAAATGAAAAAACTTCAGACACACAGCAACTCAGATGAACTAACTTATGCTAGATGAAAAGAAGCCAATCTCAAAAGATTGCATGCTGTATGAGACCATTTATATAACATTCTTGAAATGACAAAATTATAGAAGAGTGTAAGAAAACTGATGTGGTGGCCAGGATGGGGCATGAGGGGACAAACTGAAGAATCTTTTCAGGAAATAACTACTTTGTATCTTAAATGTATCCATGACAATATCCTGGTGGTGATATTATACTATATTTGTATACAGATATTATACCATAGTTGGTACCACTGGGAAAATTAAATGGGTACATGGAATTTCTCTGTATTATTTTTTAACTACTGAATTTAAATCTATACTTGTCTCAAAATTGGAAAATTATCCTCATTTGCAACCTTTGCTCTGGCATATAATAAGGTGTAAGTCTCTGCTGTATCCTAACAACAAATAAAAAGCTGAACAAATTGGAAAATTAACAACTCTTCTTAGATCCACCAGACAGGTAAGGTCATAAGGCAAACCACTACCCTTGAAATTGGAGAGACCAAAAGGCAAATGTTCAGAATGGTGGCTTGCTGGAGCAGAAACCGAGGTTCACAAACCTCTGCAGAAACCAGTGTCAAGATAGGGAAACCTGCACTAAACTGACAAATTGCTGGAGGCTCAATGTGGGCAAGTCTATGAATAAACCTCCAGGGGCACCCTGTCATTGTGGGTCCCCACACTTGTGATTTTTCAGCTGTAGCAGGCTGACAAGTTCTTAGTGAATAGTGGAAAAAAATTCCCCCCAGCAGTGGGAGGGGAAAAGGAACCATTATAAAATGTGCCAGAACATTCTGTCCTTAACAAGGTCTGCCTATAGAAGAAGCTATTAAAGCAGAGCCTAATCTGAGGGGTTTTATCAGAACCTGATTGACCTGGGGAAGAGGAATGTCCAACTCCAGTCAGCTTTACCTGTTCCGTAAGGAAGAAGAGAATACCAAATTCCAGCCCCCTTCAGCCATCCAGTTGCACCAGAAGGGAGAGGGGCAGGGGACTGAGAACCACTTAAGAAGTTCACATGTCAGAGGCATAGGCTCGTTATAACACTGAGACCTAATCCTGTAACTATAGGTTGCTTCCCTTTGCCCGCTACCTTACTACCACATTACTGAAGGTTTATTTACAACAGTTCTTTTTACCTGATACATCATGTCTGACTACCAAGGAAAAAATGAAAGGCCTACTAAAAGGCAAAAAATATGCAATTTGAAAAGACAGAGCAAGCGTTAGAACCAGACATGGTGAAAATGTAGGAATTATCAGACTAGGAATTTCAAATAACTATGCCTAATATGCTAAGGACTGTAATGAATATTGTAAATATGTAATGTGAGCAGAGAGGTGGGAATTCCAAGAACCAAAAAGAGGGCCAACCTGTGGCCTGGTGGTCAAGGTGGCTGAATCCTACATTGCCAACTGTGTGGTTTGAGTCCCAGACCTAGCAATTTGAAATACGTATGTATGCATGCCCAAAATCCCAAAGGAGGGAGAGATAAAGGAAAAGGAATTGCAGCATGACCATGCTTCACGGGGAATGCTTTCTCACTTTTTCTCCATATATATCTCTTTCTCTGGTGAGCACATTTGCCCTCTAGCAAATTTTTAAAAAAAGATACATGAGAGACTTCAAAAGTTTGTGGGAAAATGAAATTAAAGCACAAGCTTATTTTGGAACTTCCAAAACTGAAAAGCAAAGAAAACAGAGACCAAAAAATACAGAACAGAATATCCAAAGACTTTGTAACAGCCACAAAAGATATAGCAGACACATAGTGGGAAGAGAACAAAAAGAGAATGGAACAGAAGAAATATTTGAAATAATAGTAACTGAAGAATTTCACCAAATTAATGTTAGACACCAAACAACAGATCCAAGAAACTCAGAGAACACTAGAATAAATGCAAAACAAAGCAAAGCTAGACAAATCATTTCAAATGATAGAAAATCAACATTAAAGGAAAAAATACTGAGGGCTAGCCCTGTGGCCTAGTGGTCAAGGGAGTCAGATCCCACATGACTGACGATGTGATTCAAATACTGGATCCAGTGGTTTGAGAACATGCTGGGCTTCTATGCATGGCAAAATCCCAACAAGATGTAGAAATGGAGAAGGGATTGCAGCGTGACCACACCCCACTGGGGAGTGCTTCTAATGACTTCTAAAAAGTACAACTTTATGCTAAAAAGTCTGAAATCCAATAAAAATGAAAAAAATTTTAGAAAACTATGAATGGTGGAAATTGATTCAAATAGTAAACCCAAATATATAACAAACTAGAAAAAATGAAAAATGTATCTAAATTTCAACCTGCCTCCCCGACACAAACACACCCCCACACCCTCATCCCTCTCACCAACATCCTGCCCAACTAGGCCAAACTGACTTACTGCTAAGTTCTGCCAAGAGGTTTTGGAGTCGGTAAATGCATGGAGATGATGGGAGAGTGGCACAACCAGAGAGGACATAGACGCTCCTTGCACCCTCTCCACACCCCTTTGTCCTAGTCTCTTCTATTTGGCTGTTCTTGAGTGATTCAGAGTCCCAGCAGGAAAAGTTGACTGGCTGTTTCTAATAGATCAGGTGACTATATCCATACCTGGTTGTCAGTGTGCAGATAGAGTTGTAAAATCTTTCGTGGACAAAGAAGTGAAGAATACATCTGCAACATGCATGGGTTTGTAATAGCATTTGGGATGAATTTTCCCATTTTCCTCAAGGTCTTGAGACCCCCCCCCCAAGAATAATTTTGAGCACACTGAGTTCATCTGCCATGCTAGGAAATCATAGAAAGAAGATGCAAAAGTCTTCATGGTGCCAGATGGCAGAGTTGAAACCCAGGATTCCTGAAACCTCCTAAGAACTTTAACCTGGACCTGTTATTCCCTCCTCAGTTGTCTTCCATTGTCTGGGAGTTACCACTATCAGCCCGAGAGATTAATGCCTCCCACATAGCTGACTGAGGTTCGAGTCCTAGACGTGGTGACTTGCTTTCTCACTCCCCTTGTACCCTATCTATGGTCAAATTAAAAATAATAATAATAATAAATAAAATGAGATAAAATAATTCTCTTTTTAAAAAAGGGTTTATAGGCCCAGCAGGTGGTGTGGTAGTTAAGGCACTGGACTCACACATAGCTGACTGCAGTTCAAGTCCTAGACCCGGTGGCTTGAAAATCACACAGGTCATGTGTGCATGCATACTCAAAATCCTGAGAGGAGAATGAAGGAGAAGGAATTGCAGCATGGCCATCTCCTGTGGGGGACGATTTCACCCTAAGGCAAAATCTTTTAAGAAAAGGGACAGGGTTATTATAAGAATTGAAGGATATTTTGACAGAAAATCTGTTTATGTTGTTTACATTAATTAAACATTATAGCATTAATTAAAAGGGAGGAGAAACATGATGATCTTATTAAATGCTTAAAAAGAGAAAGTGGCAGGACCAGCGGTTGACATAATGGCTATGTTACTGGACTCCCATGTAGTTGACCATGGTTCAACTCCTGGACCTGGTGGCTTAAACTCACGCCAGGTGCGTGTGCGTGTGTGCCCAAGATTCAGAGAGGAGAATGGAGGAAAAGGGATTGTGGTGTGGCGATCCCCCCTGGGGGGTGATTTTTCGCTTTCTGTCTCTCTGTCTCTCTCTGTCTTCTGGTGAGCGTACATGCACTATAGCAAAAAACCTCTCCAAAAATATAAATAAATAAGAGACAAAGTGGTAAAATTTTACATTACTAAAGATTTATTTTTAACTAGGGAAAGGCAAAAATAAGACTAGTAAAATGAGACAAATAGACAAGTAAACTAGAGAATAAAATTATTCTGTTTTTATTAGAGAATTTTTATTTATTATTTTAAAAACAATTATTTAATTAAATTATTATTATTATTATTATTACTTAATTTGACCAGAGAGAGACAGACAGAGAGAGAGAGACAGTGAATGAGAAAGCAAGCTGCGGGAACCAGCAGTTAGCATAATGGCTATGTCACTGGACTCCCATGTAGTCGACCACGGTTCGCGTCCTGGACCCGGTGGCTTAAAACTCACGTCGAGTGCATGTGCGTGTGTGCCCAAGATCCTGAGAGGAGAATGGAGAAGGCATTGTGGCGTGACCATCCCCTCTGGGGGGTGATTTCTCGCTTTCTGTCTCTATGTCTCTCTCGGTCTGTCTGGTGAGCACATGCGCCCTATAGCGAAAACCTCTCAAAAAAAAAGAAAGAAAGAAAGAAAGAAAGCTGCCAGGTCCAGGCTCAAACCATGGTCAACCATGTGGGATTCCAGTCCCTTAGCAACCAGCTGGCCCAGTTGTTGTGGAAATTTTTAAAAGACCAAAAATAGAATAAATAGAATAAGATAATGAATTCCCATGTGACCAGTTCCCAAATTTTTTAAACTTTCTAAAATTCATGATGTGCCCTTGCATGAGAGAGGAGAGAAAGAAAAAAGTATTTGCCACAGGGCTCAGCCATGATGCCCTTCCTCCAGTCTTCCAGCCCCGCAGGACCTTGGGCATACACGCAGCATGTTCAGGTCAACCAGGGGACTGGGACTATAGTCAGCATGCGTTCACACTGCGATCTTTTCTTCATCTAGCTTTCCTTTTGGAATTTTGGGCATACATATACACGCATCCAGTGTGTTTTTCATGTTGTCAGGTCTAGCACTCAAACTGTGCCAGTGGGATCAGGCTGCATTAACCACCAGGTCACAGAACTGGTCCTGGTTAATATGACTTGTAAGTCTTATTTTGTTTACTTTTAGTTTTGCTACAGGTTGTGAGTGCTCACTAGAGAAAGACAGAGAGAGAAAGAGAAATGAGAAATCTGATGCCTTACCTTTTCAGAGTCAGGTTCTTGACATAGGTTTTGCTGACAAAATCAGTTAACTCGAATTTGGGGCACAGTGCTCTGTCTTCCCCACAGTCTCCAAAGTGTGTGGAGAGAAGCAGTTCATTCACCAGCTGCAGCGCTTGTGTGTAGGCCATTTCGCTTGCTGTGCAGAAGTTTAAGGTTGCATAGATCACTCCCTCCAACCACTTGGTATTGAGGGTTATTCCCCCTATGCACCAATGAGAAGGTAAATACCAGTTAATACCACTTGAAGTGAGAGCAGGGAACCTCAGACAAAGCTTTGACAGTGAACAGCCACCTTTTTCCCAAGGCAAGTTGGTAATATGAACCTCGAAGTAAATACACCTCCTTCCTAGGCCTAGAGTCTTATTTCTGCTCTTTATAACACACTGTGCTAAGGAGGACTGACATGACCAAAGCAGACTTGACTAATGCCCAAAGTATATCTAGAAGGGTCTTTGCCAATAATAAGAAGAAACTGGGGAAAGCTGCCAGAGTAGAACCATTTTAGTCCCAGACTGTATTCTCCTGTTTAAATAAGCAGTCTGCACTGATCGCTTTCAGTTCATCCTTAAAGGGTTCAAGAAATTTGGCTTCCCAGTTCTCCTTAATAAAGGCTGGGGTTTTTTTGTTTGTTTGTTTATCACCAAACACTATTCCTATACAAAACTTACATAGCTGAGAATGTACTCAGCTTGGGCTTCCCTGACCTGGTCTCCTCTTCCCCTGTTCACATATGCACTGGTAAACTCTTTAAAAGACAGAGTCTCACTACGTCACAATTCTCCTGCCTCAGCCTCTAGAGTAGCTGGGACTACAGGCAGGTGACACCACACCTGGGTTTTAGGGTGGCCTGAATCAAACTTGGGCCTGCCATGTGGCATCAGCCTGCAAAATAGCAGCACCCACCATGTGCTTTGGCATGGCCAGTCCCACACTGGCATCTAATGAGATAGCAACAAGCCAAAGAGCGGTCATCTTCGGAAGGCCGGGAATATGCTGAACCATTACCAGCAGGACTGTAGGGGCAGGTAGCCCGAATAATCACAGGATCTTGGAGGGCAGCTGTGATTTCCATATTGGCACCCCAGACGTTGACAAAGTCCTCAACACACCAGTACTGAGGCCTCAAG